CTGAATACTAAATGATTAAGACTGTTTGATTTTTAACATCTGAATGTATAAAATTTATCTTTACTTGAAAATTAATAAACATAAAATCAAATGAAATACTAATTAATCTAATATTCTATCAATAAAATATATAATTTTTTTAAAAATATGGTAATTGTTGGTGGTGATGGCTAATGGTGCTGCTTGTGAATGCCGACTAGAGGCGGTGGTTGGTGGTAAGTTTGGTTGATGGTTGTGGTTCAGGATAGTAGCTAGTGGTGATTAGTAGTGGTGGCGATTATGATTGAGGATGGCGGTGGTGAGTGGTGATAGTTAATAATGGTGGGTGGCGGTGGTAGTTGTAATTGAGGAAGGTGGTGGTGGGTGGTGGTAGTTAATAATAGTGTGTAGTGCTGGTTATGATTGTTGATGGTGATGGGGTAGTTAATTGTGGTAGTTGAGGTGGATGAGTGTTGTTTGTGGATGAGAATGATAGTGGTGGTACGGATGGTGGGTGGTGGTAGTCGATTATGCTGGCGGCTATGATTGAGGATGATAGTGGTAGTTGAGTATGGTGGTGATGGTGGCATGGTGGTAATTGATAATGATAGGCGCTGACGACAATTAATAATGAATATGGATGATAGCATCTTAATGAAATTAAGTCTCTGTTATAGATCTTAATCATACAGACTTATTCATACACTCAATGATTAAGATTTGATGAATAATTAAGATTCAGACTTTAAAAACAAACGCATTTAATGTCTGAGATCTGAATGATTAAGATTTCAAACCTCCATTAAGTGCAAACAAATGAGGCCTAATATGTGCAACCTCAAATATCAGAAAATCACTCCAGGCTCACGGTGGGATTTCCTCTCATGTGTTAAAAAGGAGTTAATAGGACCATTAAATTACCATCAAGAGTACTCTGTTACTGCAATTACTAGAAAAAGTATCACCAATTAGTAGTATTCCATACCTCAGCTGCTTTGATTAGAGTAAGGGCAACACCTGGAGCACCATGGCACCAATGCACAAGTCGGTCAGATTCACTTCCATCACTTGAGGGGTAATTTCCACTGGGAAAACGATTTCGGATCATGTAACGCAGTGTGGCCTTCACATCCTCGGCCTCGTCTGCTTTCAGTTCCATGTCCATAAGTACATGCATTATCCCAGCCAGCCCATGAGCAGCACCCCAGTATTTTTTTTCATGCCATTCATACATTAGAGGACATCTTCCTTTCCCCATTTTTCGTCCGGATTTTATTACCTCAACAACAACTGCTTGCTGCATAAAAATTTGCAACCAAATTAAGAGACCATTATAATGAGGTATAAGACGCAAAAGGTGATTAAATTTGTGAAACTTCTTACAATTTGGGTTGGAGATATTGTATCTCTACCAATATTCTTGTTCAAGAATGAACATGCCCACAAGAAACCAGCTCTCCCATACAACAACTCATTTGGAAGATCTTTAGGAAGCTCAATCTGCATTTATAGGTAGATAATGAGGAGACAATATACATCACAGAAAAACCACTATGTGGAACAATGAAAAGGACATAATGATGGAAACTGAGGACCAGCGTAGCTAAGGCAGGAGTATATATCCACCTCTTTGAATTTTGTTAGATAGTGGTCGCACAATTGTTCATCTCCACTGTGTTTGGCAACAACTGCACCAAGAGCATAAACACCAGCCTGTCCACATATGAAGGTCACACGCCTGCAGCTTCACAAATTAGAGTTCAACTTATCCTCGTGTATTCCTTAAAAACTTGCTATGTTGGAGATCATGAAACAGAGACTTCTGTTAATGTTTGGTTGAAACATTTGACTAGTGCTGACTTAAGATTTCTTTTTACCCAAATATCAGAACGACCAAAGAGGAAAGAGAAAACGCAGAACACCAACAAGTAGGCCAAATCATAACCAAAAAAATTAAATGCACAAAGAGAGATGCTAGATCCTTTTTAATCATTAAATAGGAGGACTAGTGACTCACAAACAAATTTGCGCTGTAAAACTTGTGACACCAAAAGCTCTACCCTCCAATCCCAATTAATCTACAAGAGATCCTACCAATTGTTAGACACTAATGTACTTGATGGTCTTCCCTATCCCATACAATATTAACCATTTATTACATAACTATAGACGGCAATAATTGAGACAAGATATTTAGACTCACTAAAAAATAGTAGGAATTTTAACTTAAAATTAAAAGTAAGGATTTTAGGAGAAAGAACAGAATAAACAAACAGATAATGGACCTTCTACACATATCCATTTCCTCCTCCTCTATTCAGCTTCTTCGCCTTTAATTTCCTTCCTATTTTGGCCAATCCGCGTAAGAACTTTATGTATGCGGCTTGATGATCATTTAGAAGATTTCCAGTCATACACTAACTATTTAAACCTCAATATGTCTACTTGTCTATCAATTGACTTATTGTGAGAGTACTAGATATCATTTAAATGAGTTATTTACAATAAAGATGATTTTTCAGGCAGGCTAATTAAAACCACAAGATATGTTCTCATTTTTCTTTAGACAAGACAAAAGAAATTTAAGCTCAAAATTTTTTTGTTTCCCCCTGCAAATTGCGCGGGGAGAGAGATGGGGGAAGAGGGGTTACCCAGAACCATGGGAAGCAGAGTCGCAAGCCTTGATAATATGAGAACAGAGAGCAAGATCATTGTTGTCACGAGTAACTTGGTAAGCTTTAAATAGCAAAAAAGCAGTTCCCAAAGCTCCGGTATAAAGTGTATAGTCACTCACACGTCCCCCTTTACATACCCATGTTTCCTTCACAATCTGAAACATACCACAACAAAATTAATAAACAAAAGGAATTTACACAAACATCTTGTAGGCACTCGATACTTGGGTCGAAAATAACACTCCCGGCGTTGCAATTCATGTGAACTTTTTGCTTTTTAGTTGATTTAAAAAAAAATGATCCTTTCTAAGTTTAAAACTACACAAGTTTCAAAATTCTTTTATTTTTTCCTTAAAATTCATGTCAAGTCAAATAAATTCGCATAAACTGAAAGGGAGGAATTACTTCGTACCGTTTCTTTGAGGTCCTGAGCAGCACTTTTGAGCTTCTGACAAACGGTTCTATAGGGCAAATGAAGAAGCTTCGACAGTGGATCTTTTGCTCCTTCGGGAAATGATTGTTGGACTGTAGTTTCATCGACGAAGACAAGCATGGTGTTTGGGAAGTAACGGTCAGCCATCTCTTTGATAGCTCTGTCTTTTGCGTAGCAGATTCCCGTGTATAAAATAGTTACTCACTCCGTTCCGTGAGTCTAAAAAGACTTTAAAATTATGAAATTTGTAATTTTAAATATTTTATAGTATTTTTTGCAGACACATAGTACTGATTGACGAGTGGCGCGTGATGGTGTTAACAATATGTTAGAGGTTTGGAGGCAGACTTTAGACTAAAGATTTCAGGTTGAACAAGACAAACAGAATACTTGAAGTGCAATCCATGAGGCTGACGTGAAAGTGAAGCTTCAACACAAGTCACTCCTAGGAGAGGAAGTTTCAAGTATCTGGAGTCTACAATCCAAAGTAACGGGAGATTGACAAAGATGTCACACATCATATTGAAACGGGATAGACAAAATGCAGGCTCGGGTCTGGGGTCTTAAGTGATAAGAATATACCATCGAGTTTTAATGGTAAGTTTTGCATAGTGGTGGTTAGATCAATTATATTGTATGAGGCGGAGTGTTCGTCAGTCAAGAATTTTCATGTCCAGAAGATGAAAGTAGCGCAAATGAGAATGCTGAGATGGATGTGTAGGCATACCAGAAGAGATAAGATTAGGAATGAAGATATTCGAAATAAGGTTGGAGTGACCTTAATAGTGGACAAGATGCGGGAAGTGTGACTAAGATGGTACGGGCATGTGAAAAGGAGATGCACTGATGCACCAGTAGGGAGATGTGAGAGGTTGACCATGGTGGGTCAAAGGAGAGGTAGAGACAAGCCGAAAAAGTAGTGGAGAGAGGTGATTATGAAGGACATGGCGCAATTACAACTTACCGAGGACATGATGCTTGATAGGAGGGTGTGAATATCGAGAATTAGGGTAGAGGGTTAGTAGGTAACTGCCATAAGTTTTCCTTTTTATAGTCTTAGTATTACGTCCGCTTTCTCTTATTCTTAGACTAGTTCTGGTCACTTGCGTTGCACGTGTATTTCGTATCAATAGGTTCATTTTTTTTTAAAAACAATTATAAACATTAGCAAAACGTGTGATTGAGGAATAAAATAAAATTTAAAGGAAAAAAAATCCAATTTTAAAACAATATAAGGTTTTAGTACCTTAATAACACTCTCCAACCATACCTTGCCTAAAACTTCTCCCTAAGAAGGGTTGATGGACTTGGTGGAAAGTGTATGTGTAAACTCTCACGGCAAAGAAGTATGTTGGCTCTTTGGCCATCGCACTCCCAATTCATTGTCAGACAAAATATAAATGTGTTAGTGTTTGCTCTATAGAAAGATATAAAAAGAAAATGACCTCTTATCCCTCGTTATTTTCTAGCTTTGACATTTCCTTTTCGTTTCTCTTCTAACTATACAACTTGATAGTACAAGCCACAACCCATAATTTCAACATTGTGTTCATATCTTCAGAATCATCACCTGAGATAGTAAGTTACCAAAAGATATTAACACATGGTCAAGAAAATTACTAATGGAATGATATTTATTGCTAATTTGACAACAAATTAGACGATGGAATTAGTAAATTCTCAAATCATTGAAAAGACAAAGTATACCATCTGATAAAAGTGGTAATCAAACTTTTTATACGTTAACATTTGAATGGATTTGTTTCATACAAATATTATTTATTGTGCCTCCAAATCCCATCAACGAATGGTACAATTAAAATAAAAGGCCAATCCATGACAGCTCAAGTAATTCAACCGCATAAATCAATTTACAAAGTACACAGTTTACACCTACCCATGAGTACCTCCCACAAAATTGAGACCAACATTAGTTAATAAGATTCTACTCCATAGCACAATGAGAGTTCACTTCTAGTTTCATATGTACAGATAAAGACATCAAAATATAAAGAGAGAGGAAAGAGTAAAGAGTACCTCCGAAAGTTCCTTACTCTCCTAAAATTTCATTTACCGCCACATAGAGAAAGTTGATTTTAGTGTATAGAGGATGTAAAATTCCGAAGAATATGAACCGCTATTTTGTTAGATTTTTTTGGATATCCAAAACTTGAATAAGTATATATTTTAAGATTCTTCACTATATATCGGTAAATTAAGCACAATATTATGTACATAACAACATACAGATAAGAAAGAACATAAATATGACTCTTGCCTCTTGGTGACTAATGCTCATTCAACCAAAGGTGAGATAGTAATAATAGTCTCTTCATTTGCTCATAATTTCAGATTACTTGCACTTGATAAATAATTGTTCAAGTGTCTTTTATAACTAATTTAAAATTCTATATTGGTTTTTGAAGAGCACAATAACAGCAGGTACTTGAAGAGTCTAACCACCATTATTATTGTGATTAACCGTTATAATTTTTCAATATCTTCACCTTTTTTGTATTTATTAGAATGTAAGTTACATTTTTGTACAAATATTTGTATAGGAGTAGGATTGATTGAGGGGCAAAACTGTCGATTAGCGTTTGATGGGTAAGTTTATAAATCAACTTTTAACTTAGGCTGTTCATACTTTTAGTACAGTATATGATATATGATATGATGATGATTTCTAGTAATACATGTTGTTTGCTTCAGTTATCCTATTTTTCTTACTGTTTTTACTTCATATTTTTTCATGTTGATGCTACTGCTTCTTTTCCATTGCTTCGCCACTATTTTATTTCTTTTTAGCCGAGAGTCTAACTATTGAAAATAACCTCTCTACTTTCACAAGTTATGGGTAAGCTAAGGTGTGCGTACACATTATCCTCCCCAGACTCCTCATGGATTACTGTGTATGTTGTTATTGTTGTTGTAAATATTTTATGGTATTTGTGATTATAAGTTTTTAAAATTTATGATTTTTAAATATTCACACCTATACAACTAGTAAGTAATAATTAAAATTTTAAAATTAACCTTTATTAGTTTTCAATGAACTAAAAATTTAGGATTTAGGGTCAGCAAAATATGAAAGAGAGAAGGCAGGTGAATCACAAATACTGCTTGATACTAAGAAAAACGAAAAATGCACAGAAAATTGACAAAGGCAAAAGCAGTTAAAAGAGTAAGAAGATCGAAAGAAAGGCAGAAAGCAAATGTAGAGCTGGTCGTATAATATTGCAAAAAAATATTAACAATGGTGAAAAATCGGATAATTCCTCATCCCGGAGAGTTTTTTCAAGGGTAAACAATGACATATGAACAATGTGTTGAGCCATAAACTCAGTCCAACATAAAAACCATTAACCACTACACGACCGTGAACGTCAAATTCCCCAACGACAAACACACAATGACGCCTGCATCAAGCTCAGACCGGCGAATTGGCAGGTAGTGCTTTTCCGTCACCCTAAACTGGTTGATCATACTTTAAACTTTTTACGGAAGATATCCACCATAAATTATCTTAATTCGGATTGGAAAAGTATCAACTCTGATGCTAAGTCTGACGCGACAAATTAGATCTAATAGAGAATGAAACTGAATTATTTGCCCTCTATGTGCTTGAGAGCATGAGGGATGAATGAATGTGTAGACTGGCAATTCTTTTAGGTGGTTGGCCCTTTTATTATTTCTTTTTAATGTTAGAAAAATATTAGAATATGATTGTGGGGCTTCAGTGGGTAAAGATCGATATAGGTGATATTTACTAGCTAGGAATAGATTTTAAACTTGTTAGATAACTTCTAATATTTATTTTATTTGGTATAGTGATGACGTGAGTTAAGCTTAAATGAAGAATAAGAAAGTTAGCTAACCCAACTCATGTGGAATTGAGACGTGATTATCGTTGTTATTGTATGTTGCTAAGTTTTGAGATTTATTGGATGACGTAGTGAAACAGTGGTATAAAATTTTGGTTTTTTAATTTTATAACGCAAAAACTTGATCCTTGTTATGGTATTGTTCAAATTCTTTGGTGAAAAGGTGAGTTCAGTTAGTTAAAAAATGTGTAGACTGGTCTTCCCATTACATTGTGTGTTAAGTTGATATGTTAACAGTTTTAATTATAGAGGTGGCTCAAAGGGGAGGCTACTAATATTTTCGTTTACACAATATTGAAGTTTGTAGGAAAAAAGTTCAAAATTTGTATATATAAGAAAATATAGAAAATTTAAGTTTTAACATTTTTTTATAGAATTTTGAGTTAAACTATTCAAATCTTCATACTAATAAATAAAGTTTTTTATAACAAGATCCAAATTAATATATTACAAACACATGTCTAATATCTTATTAACTTAAATTAACCTTTGTTTATATAAATAATAATATTATTATGTAAAGTTAAAAGTTTTATATCTTGTAAAAATACTACACTAGTACGAAAGGAAAAGGAAAGACAATATTAAATTTTTTGCATGTGTGTGTTGGTGTATAAAACTTAGATTTTTATTAAAATTTTGTTTTAGACCACTAATTTTGTCCAGCCGCCCTTGGTTCCAAATTGGATTTCATCTCATTAAAACTGAAATGGTGATGTTCCATTGTGATACGTTTTATGGGTGAAAAGTAAAAAATTGTGTTAGAATGAGTGTTAATGAACATTGGGGTTAACCTTATCCTCATTACTATTAAAATGTATACATTAAAACTAGTTGACTAAAAGATGAGTGCAATTAGTTTGAACATGTGCGTTTTTTCTATGTGTTAGGTTAAGTTTTGCAGTAACTATTGGCAAGCCTGACTATAATGCATGAGTCATCCCTCAAGTTCTTTGTTGAGCCACTATCTAAGAGAGTTCAAAAGTATGTTAAGATGCACTCACAAGTTGTTGAGTTGTTTAGGTATTTGGTTAAGTGCAGATCAAAAGTGGGAGGAAGACATTAGGACTTCAAAACTCAAATGAGGAGTAGGATGGGCATGCGTTAGCTGAAAAATGACACAAGAAAGGACATCTAAATTTGAATACTAAGGAGAAAACTAATGTACACTGGACTTTAAAGTTTCTTGGCAGGTCTTTTGAGCTCTTTATAAGTTGATTTTTTACAAGTCTTACGTTTGTAAATTATGGAGTAAAACTAACTGATGATCTTCTTTAGTTTGATAGCATTAGATTTATTTACAACAAAAAAAGCGATTAATGGATGATACAAT